AAAATCTTAAGATATTTTATAGTCTTTTCATCACACCAAGTCTTCTAAATTAGTATATATTTTACACTTAGAGCCCATCTCGATTCCGACAAACCCTGTGTGGCTCACGGCTACCATACTGGACAGCATCACTTGAGCTACACGGACTTCCTTCGGTGCCAGAACAGTTCTTTCCAGCCCTCTAGCCACTGCACATGAGGTTCCCTCTTCCTACAAGGCTCTTCCTTTGACTGCTCCTTTGCCTCCTTCCCCAACTCAGCCTGTGTGTCACCTCCTTTCCCACAAGCCTTTCCCAATGGCTTCACGCCCTAGCAAAGCACCCAGAAGAACACAATTGTCTTAGGACTTCTCTCTTTCCATGATTTCTTTTTTCTTGCTTGCTTTTCCTTGCTTTTTAAGTATTTGTTTAATACCTGTCTTCTACCACTATGCTGTAATTATTGCTCCACAACGACAAGGATTAGTTTTATTCTGTTTGCCACAGGCATGTCTGAGACACTGAATTTTTCCTGGGTAAGTGGGTATCTACATATTCTTAGTTTCTCTCTGACGACATAACTTTCATACTGAAAAGCAACTTGCGGCATAAAAAATACATACACAATCACTTGAATTTATCATGTAAGACAAGTCAAGATGTTTAAAAGGTATAACTTTAAGAAATTCTTTGATTTTTGTGCTGCTATAAAGAAATAATCATTTCATTTAAAATTACAAGTACTAACCAATGAAAAAGTTAAATTTTAAACTCAGATCAATCATGAAGTATTTCTAATATTTCTCTTTTCTGTGCCTTCCAGAGAAAGTATTGTGTTAATTGCAATTTATTTGGCATCCACGTTTGTACACTTAGATCCCCTAAAGATCTACAAAATCTTATAATTGCTAATTCCTACGACTAAAGGGAGAAAAGAAGAGTCTGGAAACTATAAGTGTCACTGGAAGAAAACTAAACTTTTTAGCTAAGATTTAAACAAATTAAACTTTAACTTATCACTTCTAGCTTCTCATTTTCCAAATTACTTCCTATAATTCTAAACTGAGATCCATGATTTACTTCAGCATTTTACACTGTTACATGGAAAGGTGGTCATTGAAAATTACTTGCAGTGTTTATACATATTTTAATATAGTCAATGCAAATAAATATCACATAACTGACCTAGTATGTACTTTTGAGAGGGAATGATATTAAAATTACAGACTTTTTTTTTTAAATGTTGAAATCTGAGACTAAATTGACAGGTAAAAAAATGGGAATAAGAGTTTATATCTAACTTCACTATGCTGCATATAAAAGACTGTGTCATTCATTTTGAAATAGCTGAAAGTTCTATTGCACCATATTATGTTTACCTCGTCAGGTCCTCTGTTATCAATAGTAGCATAAAGAATACATCTGCACAGGACATGGCTGTCTTACATCGAGACACACAAACCCCATACACAAAAAACTATCAAATATTTATATAATGGTCCAAGCACTATACATGTGTCCTTTCATTTAATCTTCATAATAACCTCAAAAGGTAGATATATAATAAAGCCCATTTTGAAGATGGGCAAACTGAGGTTTAGAGATGTAAAACAGTTTGCTGGTAAACTTTGCCCAACTGTTGAATCAAAGAGCTAGGAATGGAGATTTTTTTTTTCTCCCACGAACAGGAGAGAAAGGCTTAGAAACAGTTTACTGCAATTCCTATGACTTGTAAGCTTTATAAACTTGAATTCTGTGCGTGAGACATCCAAGTCCCCAAACCACAACTCCAATGCCTACTAGTTTCCCACTACTTCCATGTTTGGTCAATTTGGTTTCCCATCAGTTCCCTAGTTCCTCGTTCATTTCTCTGCTAGAAATAAAATGAGGTTATGAATCTCAGCCTAGATGAAGGCGAGTCTACTCTTGTCAGGCACGGATTTTTGGATAGACCTTCTCATTCTTTATGCACTGCTGGGACCTATCTGCAAACCCCAACTCCATCCCCAGGAGTCTAATGCTTCCCAGAACAATTAGAATATTTCTCAAATTTGTCAATTCAGCATTTAATTATGCTTCAAGGAGGCCACGCCTGGCTGGTATTTCCCCTTGGAGGTTCCTACTACCCAGCAAGAGTCTCTGTTAGCTGTTCTCTTTCTCTGCTCAGCCATTATTACACTATTAAGGAAAACACTGCCATAAAATATTAAATATAAATAGACTATTATGTGTTTATTTGTGATTGTACCATTCACAGATTTATTCTAATACAGACATGATAATTTTATATAAAGATTTTTCCCTAGTTTTTAATATCTTTTTTAGTGATATCAGTATTTTCTCACTCTTTCTGGTAATAAAAATACACTGGGTCCACATTCATGGGGAGCATACAATTGCTGTGTTTGTATAAAATGATATATCAGTTTGCTTTAATTTACATCCTACTTGGATATGAATTCAATTTTGTTGTGGCTATAAGATTTCTCATTTGTTAAATGTACTTTTTATATTAAATGATTTCTAAGGCTCCTACTACTCAAAAACCCTGGTCTAAGTCTAGCTAATGGACACCAAATAATAAAAACATTAACTCATTAACTGAGCTTAGACAATTGTCACCCACATATTTAAAGCTGTCCTCATGAATGACTTCCGTTTTATGGCCTAAATTAATAGTCATGATAACATGCTAAACGTTTTGTCTTCTCCATATGTTTCATGCACCTAGAAATCTCTGACCAAAGTTAACATGCAGTTTTCTTGGATGTTCAAAGTAATTTGTTGATATTGGTTAATAAGCGTAATGTACCTAGATTGTACTAATGTACAAAATGAATCTAAATAAGAAACAGATTTCATAGCTTTAAAAAAATTCAACATCATAGATCAGTAGATGAGGAAAAAAGATGGAGTCAGTTTGAAGTGAAGAATGCTAAGTATGTTTGTACCTCCCTGTCCAGTGTTCAGAGGAAGAACAACGCAGTCACCTGAATTACTCTGACTATAAGAGAATTCTATAAACATGGTCCCTAGGTTGGTTCTAAAACAATGAATCCCTATTCCTTCAACACAGAATACTTTCAGAAGAGAAGCTGATACTAAGGACTCACTACAGTCAGCACAGCAAAAATTGAAACTGTAAATAGACAAGAGAGAAAAAACAAAGTGTGTGTGTTGGGGGCGTGGTAGATTGGTCGAGCATTCTTTATTCATTTGACCAAGAAATGTTTACTGAGCAGTTGTTATGTGCCAGGCACAATAAGAATTGTGGGTACTCTGGTAAACAAAAACAACCTCCCACACCACCAAGAGAAGAAGAATGACAACAAAAGAAAACATAAATATCAATTTCTTTTATTTGGTATTCCCTTCTCTATCTTCCCATTCTGAGTTGGCTGAACATTATATATATGCATGTCATGCATTTCTTTTGAGAAGGTGAAAGATCCCGAAATTTTCAAAGTTTGTAAAGTAATTACAAAACTAAAAACTAAAATTAAAACTAGAAAAAGTTTAAAACATGTTTTATTCTGGAAAATATTCTGGTTCTTAGTTCCATGGTTTATTTTTCTTCTACGTTATCTCAATTTACATTTTTTCAGTAAGAAAAAACTACAAAACTAAGTATATAAGAATAGAGCAGTAATCATTTTGATGGCTTATATTCAACTTTGAAAACATCTCTAATAGTCTTAATTTTGCCATCGAGTTTAAAAGTTCCTTGAAAACAGCCCTTCCCTTTATGGATAATAAAACCTTGAATTTTAATCACATCAGGATTTGGTATATTTGTATTTGTTATTTAACAAATGCTTAAAAATGTTTCTCCATTCACCCATTTTCTATAAAAGTATCTGAGAGCAAGTGTAGACCAATGCCCATGACCTCTGATTACACTGATCTTCTGTATCAGGATGTTTTTGTGGTATAAATTAAAATTAGTATATGCAGAACAATTACACTTTTAAATGGAAGTGAAATGCAATCTAAAAACTGTAAAGCTATATACTAATTTCAGGAATGTGGAAGTAAACAATGGAAAACAACTTTAATTCCATCAGTGAGCTATTCTGCTTCCTCTCTTTCCGAAATCAAGGTTCTGATTATAATCGAAGGATCAGAATGGGGACAGAGGAGGCAAAGGGCACTTGCAGTTCACATGTGGCAAGAGGCTTAGACAAGAGGAATTTCTCCTCTCCTTTTCACAGTACAAATTTATACGTAACCTCAAAAGTGCAGCTACAACATTTCAAGAATGCCTGAAAATGGCAAGGGGTCAAATCCCAATCACAGGTATTTCAACCATTTTGTGAAATACTTACACATTTATTTAATTCATACCAAGCAATCCTAAATTTTACACTGTAAGTATCTGACAAACATTCACATCATTGAAAAAAAAAAAAACTTGAAAAAATGTTTCAATTTCCTACAACAGAATCAAACAGTACAATGTTTATACAAATGAATGAAATCAGTAAAAGAATAAAGCAAATAAAACATTTCTTAATTTACTTAATATAGTTTAAGGTGGTACAGCGGCTACCTCTTCTTTTTTTTAATGAAAATCTCATTTCTTATTCTCTGCACCACCTTATGTAGGACCCTTAACAATGTAATCTACTGAAAAATAATTAAAAATCATTTCCTAAACCAACCAGGTCCTCCATGACTTCTCTCATTCATTTTGTGGTTAAAATCTTACAATATTAGCTTGAATTTCATCTCTGCCTGACACGTTTCAAGCAGTGAAGCAGATTAGTGCCTCAGAACACTTTAGAGGGTTTCGTTATCAATCAGGTTATGTTCCTAGTGATGCTTTCAGCAAAATTATCTTATTCTAGTGAAATCCCGTGGATTGAAGTAAACAAAGCTGTAGCCCACTGCTCTTGCACACTTTCCATTCATTTATTTCCTTTTTCTTTACTTAGACTTAAAGCACGTGCCATAGAAAAAGCGCATGTTAAATATTCCTGGAGTGTCACAATACGTAATACAATAAAACAAATTACAACCCTACCTTTCTTTCACAGCAGTGGTGCCAAGCACAGGTACACCGGAGCAATCAATCTGTTCTGCAGACAGTAAGGCTTTCATAGAATACTAATGTAAAATCTCTTTTCTTTCTCCTTTGCCTTGACTCCCCAATGCCCGGGTCCCGACCAATACTAGGAGGAGGGCGGTATGTCTTCTGCTGAGATAACCACAACTACTAATCAAGTCTACGTGTACAAGGGCACAGGATTAAACCTCCACCAAGCTTGAGTCAGGGTTTGAGAGCAGCTAACACATGCACAGCACGGTCAAAATTAAACACACACACACACACACACACACGTCCCCATGCACATGCCATGAAAATACAGATGTGTCTACTTCAGTGAACTAATTCATCACACTTTACCACTGTTTTTTTTTTCTTTCTTTCTTTCTTTTTCTTTTCTTTTCTTTTTTTTTAATTTCAGGATCACAAAATTACCTCCTGTTGGACTGGGGGCTTAGATCCAACAGTACCCAACAATAATTATATTTTCCCAGAAATGAGAATCATGATCAGTACTCTGCATTCCACTGTTCAGTTTTTTTAAACGGCATTTTTCTAAATTGGACTATCCAATACTGTTTACATGGATTTATACTTTCAAGTATTAACATAGGGTTAATGGACTCAGCAAAGATTCTTAAGATTTTGCACTTAAAAAGGTAATATAATAGCTCACGACCACTTCTTCAAGAAAAGCATGTGCATTACCAATAGTGAAAAGATGTCCAAAAGATTTTCATTTATCTTAAAGTTTTCATACTAAGTATAACCATAAGCTATTTAAAAAAATATTTTCAGGTCTCAAAATTATTTAAAAAACATCTTTAACACTTTATAATTATGGTAGCATAGTGGTAATTTTGAACTAATAAATTCAAAATACTGAGGCTCCTTTCTATGAGGCATTTTTACTTGGCTTAGTCTTTTATCCAAAATGTGAAAAGGCATGCCAAATCATTGAGTAGGGTGATGACAGAAGTTGATACATTTTTTTTTTAACAACACATACTACCTCATTTTAATTTGCCTGCCTTAATTTTCAAATAACTCCTTAAAAGTACTGATAGTCAAGGGGCTGCAAACTAAGCAATAATTAAAGACAAAACACTCTAGATGATCAAATAAACTTAACAGGAAAGGCTTCCTAAACCAGTTCTATTTTCATGTACACAGATACTTTAACACTGCTAAAAGACATGTCGTATTCTGCACTCTTCTTAAAAAAAAAAAAACCCAAAAAACAAAAAAAACGCAGCTGGAACAATTAAGAAATACTAGCACCTCCAATGAAGTATTGCAATAATGTTTAATCGATACTGATGCATTTGTCCTTGACACACTGACCATGTCATCAGGCTACTGTCATGTGATATCATGTCATTTCCCCACCTGGCTCATGACCTTGTCCTCTAAATGACCTAAAGCTTCCCTCAAGTTGCAGGAGGCCCCTCCCCGCTGTCTCAGCAAGGTCGAATGGGTCAGCGTGTCCTCATCTATAATCCACCACCATTTGTCAGCAGGGAGGCTGGAGGAGGCAGGCTTGCTACAAGGGGAGAATGCCCAATTAGGCAGCTGTCACACAAAGCATAGGCTGCAAAATTATCCCCTGTCAAAAGAAAGAGCAGCTGCGGGTGCCAATTACAGCAACCTTTCAACCCTTTAGGTACTGGAAACTACACAGAAGTAAATGAAGAACAATTAGCGATAACAAATCGATGAATTAGGACAGTGAATTAGAAATTACTAGCAGGTGAGCCTGGGTCATACATGACATAAGGGCATCCCAGACTCCAGGCAAGGGCAGGGGTGCACAGAGGCACACTAACTGTTTTCTTGCATATAGATTTTTCCCTCTGGCATTTTCTTTTTGCAAACCTAAAATCCTTTAAAATACCCAGGACCTCAAAGTACACATACCTTTTTACTTTTCATGGAAGACCCAAATAAATTGTTTCTTGACTAGAAGAAAATCCTTCAGAACAGTAAGTCTAGTTAAGTCTAAATGGTTCTTACACAATCTATCATGCTATCCCCTCAAACTTAAATTGAAGTGTGGCCCACAGAATCTAAAATATCAGTTCAAATAGTCGCACTTAAAATATTGTCCATCTTCACCAAGTACTTGCCCTGATTCTACTTTAATCACACTCACAGGGAAACATCTCCAAGAAAGTAACCGGATATGAATTCTGAGAAAACTGTGATGCTGATATCATTACGTCGATGTTAAATTTTTGTACATGGTGTGATTTTGTGTAGCGAAATAACTGCAAGTGTGCTTCTGTATATGACATGTATTTAAAAAATCAACTATAAATTACTCAGGTTATTCTGCCCCTACAGAGGTGATAAGCATAGGAAGCCAATTCACTTGGACTCTACCCAACGAATGTCTTTGGTAGTTAGCACTGGGAGGCAACAAAGGAGGAACAAAATGGGCAAACAAGCCCCACAATGGAAAGGAATCCAATATGGCTTAGTCTTTAGGGACATGGTTTCATTGTGCCTCAAAAAAGTTACGTATATTCAGAAACAACTTTCTGAAAGTCCACTTTAAACTAACACTACTTTTATTTTTCCTTAGGAAAGAAGCACCTATCTTCCTATACTGATTCTTTGAGAGTTGAGAAACCTGAATGATCTGTGCTATAATTTCTAAAGAAGCAGGGATAAATTGCTCAACTAGAATTCTAAATCACAAATGGGCAAAAATGAGGGAGACAAGGTGAGGCAATAAAAAGCCCTTTGCTCATCCCCTCCAACACATTCTAAATAAATCACAGTTGCCAGAGGGAAAAGTTCATAATTCCTAGCTCCTAAAACAAGTCATTTGATAAAATTCCCAGAAGAGAACTGTCATGGGAAGAAAACTTCTCCATTAAAAGTTTATCTAAGAATTTGATTCATAAATTATGTTTCACCTTGTTAAAAAATGGGCATTTACACATTTTCTTTAGTTTAGAATGTAAGTCAAACATAAGAATTCAAAGGAAAAAATGGCAAGTAGACCGGAATGAAGGAGTTAATGCCTTTAGAATTCAGCTTCCATCATACATGGGTGACTATCTCTTTAAATAATTTAAATCCTCTCCATCAACTACAAAGCTGTTTTGAAGCCATTTAGCTTTGTTCTTTACATGTGTTCTAATTAAGAAATGACCTTGTCATCACACACACCATAAATCCGGGATTATTTCCTACAGCAAAAAATTCACAGAGTCCCCAAAAAAAGAAAAAGAGGGGAAAAAAAAGACTTCTTCCTCAGTTCCTCACTAAAGGAAGTTGTTGGTTGGCTAAACGCTGAAGCAGTTTCACCGCATAATTTTTTTTTGTTGTTCAATGTCACAGGGCGGGTTAGTGTGACCTTGAGCTGCATCAGCAGCACAGCAAGGGTCGAGATGCCTGCAGGCGCCCTTGTACTGGATTTGCAAGACAAAAACCTTCAAACTGGCTGAAGGACATCTTAAATCTCTTCAAAGGTTTTCCGAACTAATCTGGGCTGCTCTTAGCAGGATCTGTGCCAGTGTGAGAGGCAAAATTAAAAACAAGGTCTTTGACAGGATGTTGTCTCCTCTTAACCCTTCCCAAGCAGAACAGAACAAATCACAAGCTTTCTGGAGAGATAGTTTACCTAGAAGCATTCTTTCATAACAAATTATGTAAGCAAGCAATCACAAAGGATGGGGCAGCTATTAGTCCTCAAAACTAAACCTCCCACTGCACTTATTAAGAATTTGGGTCAATTTTCTTCTTGCCCAGGCCCATATTTTAGTGTAGTGAATGTAAAACTTAAAGCTCTATTTGTTAGCTCTTAGATTTGCAGGACAGTCATAGGTTAAGAATAAGGAAACATTTCTATCAACATTAATCTCTAGAATTTTCTTTCTTTCTTTTTTAAGAATAAGCTTCTAGTTGGTTAAGTCACAAACTTCATGCATATTACCTATAGCTTACTAAAATTACAACAAGTGAAGAAAATTACATCATACGTTTACACATTTCTTACATCTAACATGATGGATACACTGCTAAGAGAGGAAAAAATCAGAATAGGAAAAAACAGAAAATGAACATACATAAAACAAAGCCATGTCAGGCTTGTTACAAAAAATCAGTGTGACATGTGTTACTGTGTTGTAGCACTTCCAATGCATGAATCCAGAGAAAGTATCGGTGCCAGCAGAGGGTGTGAGTCTTCCCTGGCAATGCTCTCGAAGTTTAATTTAGTAGCTATGCTCCCAATAGTCTAAGGGAACAAACACTATAACACTGATTTTAGGATACTGCATTATAAGTATCTCTCCATCTTTAACATGTTAGTTTGTCATCATCAGATATAAGGTATATCATAATTAGTTGTAAAGAATATTTAGTAAAAGGCACAGAATTTATTAGTAGGTTTCAAATTATGCCCTTAAAAAAAAAAAAGACTAAGTAAATTCAAGATTATGCTGAGTAACAACCATACTTTCACTTACTTGAATTCTGATACGCTTTCCTGAATGGGACAGGAAAAGGGTAAAGTAATACCTTGTAAGTAGATAACGCATGAGAGTGAACCATACATGTGAATTTCTTCTTTAGTCCCTGTGCAAAAGAAGACAAGAGTATATACTGTGCTAAATGCTATGGTTGAAGTCTGTAAAAAAAGTACTCTAGGAACGCAGAGTGAACAGTAGCTAGGTTTTCAGTTCACAGGTACATGTGCCCTAGGTGGTCAGTGATGGTTAAAAAACAAGGGCTGGCCAGGGAGAAGAGAATGGCGCCACCCTAGGTTACATAAATAGGCAGGGAAGAGCTGAGTGTGATACAGGAAGCGGTGGTCCAATGTGACTAGAGATTAGGCTGAAAACGAAATTGGGACCAAGGACTTTGAATCAAGGCCATGCCAAGGAGCTAGCCTTTATCTGGTGGGCAGTGGAAGGTTTACAGGCAATGGTATGATTAAATGCATGTCAAAAACAAAAACAGAAGTTGTAGAGTTGTTGATGGCTTGAAGGGGAGAAATTGAGATGAATTAGTGCAGAGAAGAAAACATGGTCAAAATAAGGCAGGGGGCAGGAATGTTGAAGAAAAAGATAACTGAAAAAACAATAAAGGCTGGTCTGAATGTTTAGAAAGCAATTTATAGAACATAAAAAGTACTGTAAAAAAAGGGTTGTTTTTTGTTTTTTTTTAAAGATTTCATTTATTTATTTGACACAGAGAGAGACAGCGAGAGAGGGAACACAAGCAGGGGGAGTGGGAGAGGGAAAGCAGGCTCCCCGCTGAGCAGGGAGCCGGATATACAGGGCTCCATTCCAGGACTCTGGGATCATGACCTGAGCTGAAGGCAGACACTTAATGACTGAACCACCCAGGTGATCCCCAAAAGGGTATTTTTAATAGCAAATTCATTGTCAAAAAATAATGAAAATAATTATTATATCTCAAGCCCAGGTTTGTAAATCACCTTGTTGACATGATTTGTACAAAGTTTCAAGAAAACTAAGAACTCCTACAGAGGTATGTAACAAAGAGTCAAAATCAGAATCTGTTGTAGATTTGAATTTTCTACATTTCAAGTAACAATCTTCATTAAGTATCAGGAAGGATTTTTGCTTATTAAGGCAGCAATGTGTACCTTTTCAGAATAGTGTGAAGGCATATTTCCCTTGGCTACAAGAGAGAGATGTCTGGCTTAAATCATAATGTGGTTGATGAGGCTATCACATTATGAAGAGTTTCATCAACACTAATGAGCATAAAATTAATTCAGCACACATTTATTGAGTATGTACTATGTTTATAATTCAGAATTAAAAAATAAAAAATCCCCAACATCCTATCAGCTTTGTGCTTTTAGTGTGTCACTTATAATGGTAAGTCCCTAAATTATAGTTCACACCATGACACCATTACACAATAAAAAGCCTATTAGTAAAAACAATATTGAGTTGTCAGGGAATTAGGTCTCAACTAGCAGCCATCTTGGTATTCCCATGCAGCTGACAAGGTGCACAAAGAAATCCCAGAACTCTCTGGGAAGACCCAGTACCCATGCAATTTGAAGACAGTCGTCAAATACTCTAGAGACTGACTGTCCTGCTAAGACCTCAGAAAGAATTTAACAGAGTATCAGCCAAGGTAAGAGGGTAGGGAGTAAAAAAGAGCAGGAGTCACCAGGGCCAAGAAACTATCTGCCAGAGAGCAGACTGTACTCTCAGAAAAGGAAAGCCAGCATCAGGGATCAGGTTGAGGCAAGTGGAGGGGAAGGTCAAACAAAGGAGAGAAGAAAGATTCCGAAGGGAATATTTCTCACTTCCCTGAAGAAGTAAACTTTACTCTGTGAACTCATTAAGAAATGACCAAATCTCCAAACCCTCTGGAGGAAGAATCATCATCACAGGAGATGTATTTGGAGGTTCACAAGTCATAAAAAGGTCTAGCAATTGAGAGCCAATATAGTGATAGGGCACAACTAGAAATGACCTTCTTAAGTATCTACAAATAAAATGACTTCTTGAGTAAGCATCTCCATCCCACCGGTACGTTTCCAGCACACTGTATGTCTAGACATTAATATGAGGGTGGGTAATATGATAAGACTTGCAGATACTAAAACAAAACAAAACAAAACAACCAACTTATTAACCTACAAACACAAAAGCTAGGATCCATCATTGAAATAAAAATAACAATATTCTGTTGGCAATTAGACAAGTAAATTCCTGTAAAGCAGAAGTTCTTAAGGCGTGGTCCAGGGACCCCAAGAGTCTCCATGATCCATTTAGGAGGTGCATAAGGTCAAACTATTTTCATCGTACTAACCTGTTATCTGTTTTGTCTCTCTCTCTCTCTCGTGAGTGTACAATGGTGTTGTCCAGAGGCCACGTGATGTGTCATGGCTAATGTGTTAATGGCTAATGGAGTGTAGCCTTGTATATTCTTGTGTTTTAAACATTTTCTCGATTTTAACTTCTAGTATGGTAAAATATTGGTTGATATGACCCCCACAAAGAAAAGCTCTGTTGGGTCCTCAATAATTTAAGAGTCTGAAGGGGTGCTGAGACTAAAAGTTTGAGAGCTGCTCCCAGTCTACTGTAACAGAGTCAAGAACTTCAATCTTGGTTTTAATCTTCAAACAAAATCTCTACTTTCTAATTTTCAACAATTTATGCTATAACCATGCCAGATAAATACTGTTCTCTATGCAGAAATGTTTCAAAGACCTGGGTAGGGGAAAGAAAAAAAAAAATGATCTTTTAAAAAAGAAAATTAGTAAGCTAAAGATGATACGAAATATCTACCACCTTTGCACAGTCATTACTCTTCTGAATTCACCATGCCAGAATATTTATAAAGAAGCTGCTATGTGTTGAGAACTGAAGACAGAAGGATAACTAAGTGATAAACTGGCCCTTAGTAGGCTCACCCCCGTCAGGAAAAATATAATCCACAATGTAGTGAGATCCTAGTATAAGAAAGGCATGCAAAAAGTGAAAAGAGCATGGAAGGGCAAAGTTTTGGGAAGAAGACAGGCAGGGAACAGGTTTTTAGTGAAGGCACTCTGCCACACAGGTGGCATGTGAAATGACGAGCAAAATCAAGGCTTTGCCAAATGGAACGTAAGTTAAAGAGCACTCTTCAAGCAGGGGGGAGGAGCATCAGTCCCAGCAGGGAAGCTCAGCAGTACACAGTATGTTTTAGAAACTTTAAGTTTCTAATAACAGATATTTGAATTCTGTTCAAATATCAGAAATTGTAATTAAGAAGTTTTATAGAATGTGATAATGTAATTTGTTATCAGTTGAATTCAATGACGAAAAATTTGGACTTGTAATTTGTAGGCCTTTTTCTTCATTTCCAATCTGTCGTAGATAGCAGCTTTTTAAAAATACAATAAAAGTAATTTGTTAAAAAAAAATGAAGTGAAAACAAAAACTGGTCCTTCACCACAGATATTCTGAGAACCTTAGAGAACAAGCTGCAAGATGGCAGGATGGAGGAAGGACAACTGGAGAGAAAAGCTTTGAGCCAGAGCTTGCACAGGTTGTACTCAACCCATCAATAATCTATTTTGTTTAGAAAAAGAGGGGGGGGGGGCATGAGTGCACATGCCCACATGGTGGCGGGGGGAGGGGACAGACGGGGCGAGAGACAGAGGGAGAGGGAGAGAATCTTAGGCATGGCTCCACGCCCGGTGTGGGAGCCTGTGCTGGGGCTCAATCTCACGACCCTGAGATCATGACCTGAGTTGAAATCAAGAGTCAGACACACCCAACTGAGCCACCCAGGCGCCCCATCAACCATCTTTCTGTAAGTAAATGCAAAAATAAATAAATAAATAAAATAAATGGGGTTTGAAAACCACTAGTATATCTCTAATCTAGAATGAGGAAATTCTGGTTATCCAAATAAAATGCGTAAGTTGTACTGTTAGGATCACACTAATTTCAGATGTGCAAACTGCAGGCCATGTGGTTGAAGGGCAAACATAGCAGAGAATCAAGGACAATATCAGGTTCACTACAGTTATTTTAAGTGAAAAAGACCAGGGTCTGAGTAAGAAGAGAAAGTGAATGGACACTCTTAACCAAGACATTTTAAAATTATTTTAATTATTTCACTTGAAACCTTTCATGGGAGAGAAAAAAACCTGAGTTGACATGGAGGCTTGGTATAGCGGGGAATTTTCCTCTCAAAATGATATTAGTATCAATTAAGGTACTAAGTAAAAGACTTTTAAAAAAGTCAATTCTTTATGACACCAAGTTCAGCAAAAAGTTAATTATATTAATGTTTGCCATTGTAACAGTGAATTAGGATTAAGGAAGCCCTGTTACTTTCCTATGGTGGTTATGTTACTGGGATCACTGAATTATTTTATCAGAGAAGTAACAGAAGCAAATTGGAAGTTTTAGGAAAATGTGGTGGTTGTGAAGACAAAGGCATAAGTAAGGAGGCTTCTAGAACAGGCATTCTAGATGAGAAATGCACTCTGAGACAAGATGCTGGCTGTGGGAAAGGAAATTAAAATGTGGGTAAAAGCAATGTTGGAAATTAATGCTTCGTTTGGGCCCATCATCCAAATTTTCTTGCCTAGGTTGTCCACAAAGCCAGGGAAACATCAGTTGAGAAAGCCAAGTTAGTTTATGGGAATTAATTTCAACTAAGATAACTCACCCAGATTCTGGATTGATCTTGCTTTCACCAGTACCACATTCTCAACTGATTATCTGGTGTAGGAGTTTAAACACTTTTTCAAAGTGTTCTTTCTTTTTTTTAAAGGAGGCTCCACGCGGGGTGTGGAGGGGGGCTTGAACTCATGACCTTGAGATCAAGACCTGAGCTAAGATCAAGAGTCAGATGCTTAACCGACTGAGCCACCCAAGTGCCTCTCAAAGTGTTATTTCTTAATTAAAAACATTACTTTGAGAAATGTTTTATAAAGTTTGGGGAAGGCATTCCATGTAGATGACTAGACTCACTTTACCAACCTGGTGACCCAATCTGTTAGTACCAACTGAATCACTGGCCGTTGTCTCTTCATACAGATACTTCTATATATGATAGGAAAGTTCTAGCACTTAAAACGTGTGTTGAAATAGTCATGTGTATTGAAATAGTTATCAATAATGTAATTGAACTAGGAAAAAAACATACATTAAAGAACTCTTCCGAGTGAGAACTCATGAGATACAACAATAAAAATTCCACTTAGTGAGAAAATGAGTATATTCAAGTGTTTATGCTAAACTGATTTATGGCCAATTATCTAATTCTACCTGAGATAGTCACTATTTTCTGTATTATCAGTATTTCCAAAATCAGCTAATAAATGTTGCACTCTGAAACAGAGCACAGAAAGTATACGGAGTTCTAAAAAAACACAAAAAAAGGTGATTTTATTTTATTAGTTATATGGGATGTCCACTTTTTTTTTCAAAAGAAGGAGGTGACAAGTGAGCAAAGGAAATCTGGCCTAAGGCACTGAGAAGCTTTATAAACACTTCAGGCTCTATATGGTTTGCAATATTCATTTACTCAAATTCTACTCCTTTTTTCCTAATCACCCTCTTTGGCCTCTCATTCAGGACATTACTCTACTTAAAAATATGATGTACCGGGGCACCTGGGTGGCTCAGTGGGTTACGGGTCCAACTCTTGATTTTGGCTCAGGTCATGATCTCAGGGTCGTGAGACTGAGCCCCATATAGGGCTCCGGTGCTGGGTGTGCAGTCTGCTTGAGATTCTCTCTCTCCTTCTCCCTTCTCCCCTCCCCCTTCTCTCTCCCTCTTAAAGAAAAAAAAAAGTGACATACCTGTTTTTGGAGTGTAGCTGTATGACAGACAAGCTACAGTAATACCCCATGGAATATATTAATTCAGAGTCTTCAACTGTTTTCTATCAAATACTAGTCTATATAAGGCCCTCTTTTTGGGAACTGAGAATCCAATAGCTGGCTAATGGAATGCCTACTGAAAAGATATTTCATATAATGACAACTTCGCCAAATTTATTTGACCATGGACTCTCATTCAAAACATAATTTAGAAAACATATACTTAACAAATTCACTTTAAATCTTGAAAAAAAATTAAATATACATAAATGATAATCAAGAATAGCTCATTCTTATATGCTTTCAAAACTATTCATTGTACATTCTAAATAATCTGTCTTTTCTATCTGGGAGAAAGATCTAAATTTGATCATTTTTCAAGGACAACTTATTGGCTATGTAAATTTGCCAGCTGGCTATCTATGATTTATTTATCCAACTGTCATAAGTGGTGGTTGGTACTTGGTAAAACAAGGGCGTTGACAAATTAAGAACAACAAACTAATTATATCTTGTGGGTCACAAGAAAATGCATGATTATAATTTTCATTTTAACGAAATTAAAAGTTGGGAATTAAGGTGCAGCAACAATGATGCTCATCAAATATAAAAACAGATTTCAGACTATCAGTCATTAACACATAGTTATACCTGAATGAAAGAACTCAGCATTTAACAAATAAAAGTGTGGTTGATTTAAAATCTTAATTTAGGGGAAAAAATAATATGTGAATATGTGACGAATGACTAGCAACCAAATAATTATTAGTAATTGTAATTTTTATTAAACAAGATGTTTTAAAGATTTTCTTGCTTAAATGACAAGAAAGAATACACAGAATGATTAAAATAAGAAATAAGTAGAATGATTAAATAACCTAATCACTAGGTTTTCTGAATATAATCAGAATAGTGAAGAAAAAGGAATTTGTATTATCACTGTGCCAACCATATGACACCTAAGAAACAAATTTGGCTCCAAGTTGCCATCCCCCTTTAGAAACATCAGGGTCCATTAAAACACCATGAATTTTAGGATGTCCTATCTGCTTTCTTCTAACAAGAGTTTTCAGCTAGCTAATTGAGAGTGAACTCTTCACAACTAATTATGAGCACAATAATTAATCACTATGTCCTTTCCCAGTTTACTTGGAGTGCTTCTCTGCCCAGCGTAAGCAGCACAAAGTCCAAGAGCTTAAGACATGACAAATTCATTTAGGTTGTAGCTATACTAGGTAACAGGAGTGGTAATCCTTGTAGAATTAACCACTCACCCATCTCTTTCTGTTGTACCGCCCACCTACTTGTGTTAATTTAATCAGACTATTTGATCACTTCTCAGAAATGCTAATATACTATTATATACTATTTGCCTTACAAGAGGTAACCATTTTACATAATTCAAAAAGTAATCATTGACTTAGACTATAATAAACCCACAATAACCAAACATGCTTCTATTTTTCCTCAAAACAATAATTAACTTTTTATCTGAAATCAGATTGCTATTTCAGGTTTTATATTAACTGTTCATTTTCTCTGGTTTTTGGTAAAAACAAATTAAGTATCATCAACGCAAACACTATTTCTGATTTCAAGCTTCCCAATCCCCCTCTCCAGAAGTAATCTACACCTTTGAATTCTGAAGAATATTTTTTGTGTCTTTCTTATGGCATTTAAGCTCTTTTTACTGCTTGACTAAATTTATTTATCTGTACTTATCCTTAAATTCCTTAAGATTGTATCTTATTCACTATTCACTTTTTTTGTTTTAAACCACACTGTGCCTAATGAAATAATTTGCACAGATAAAACACAAAACATAAATCTGGTGATTACAAGCTAATTTATCACTAAGAAAGGATTCTCGAAAATATATTAAAATCACCATGATTAAGCCTTAAGAAGTCAGGAAAAGTATTCTCACCATCTGTCTCTGAGGTCTGTTTCTACTTTCTGAGCAAGGAAATGGAGAAGGCTGTTGAAAAGTAGCGCTGATGTCATCTGGAGTCTTTAGATTTCCCTGTTCCTCTTACTGTCTAGTGTGCACCTGAGGAAAAGGAAAACCAGATTCTGGAATATCTTTTGTGAAGTTCTGTAAATTTTTCCCAGTATCTTTTCTTGTTCAAGTTCAATGTAGAAGTAGTCATTTAACAGAGAAATATGGTTTTATGAAATATGAATCATTCATTAAAGGAAACTATGTAACTTTTGCTTTCTAGACAATACATTTGATCAAAGTAGATGTTTCAAGACAAACTGTGAATAAGGTTTATAGTTGCTAGGATGTGCTTGTTAACCTCTGTTAATTTCAAGTTTCTGTCAAATTAATCCAATTAAGTTACATCTAAAAATTCTAAATCCTCCCAAAGGTATATTTCAAAAAAAAAAAAAAAAAAGAAGAAGAAGAAAATTAAAAAGGAAAAAGGAAGAATAGATTTTCATATTAAGCTTTTTCTTTACAAAAAACCTTCTAGCACAAAATTTGTAATAAATATCAAATGCCTTATGTCCATAGACAGACTTGTACACCAATCTCCAAAGTAGCTTTATTTTAAATAGCCCAAAACTGGAAACAACTCAAATGCCTATCAGTAAGTAAATGAATTATGGTATACCCATACAATGGAATATTTACTACTCAGCAACAAAAAAGGATGCATGATTGATATAAGCAACAGCATGGATGAGTTTCAAAATAATTACGCTGAGTGCAAGAAGCCAGACAAAAAGGAATACATAGTGTGTAATTCCATTTGCATAAAACTGTAGAAAATGCAAAGTAATCCACAGGGAAAGAAAACATTTTGGTGGTTATCTGGGGATCGAGGGGCGGGAAGGTACAGGAAAGAGGGATTACAAAAGGACCTTACCTTAACTGTGGCAATGGTTTCATGGGTGTATACATATTCAAAATGATCACACTATAAACCCTAAACATGTGCAGTTTATTGAATGTCAATTATAACTTAATAAAGCTATGAAATATTAAATTTCTTAAAATGTTGCATGCCCCTTGATGTAGCAATTCCAAGTCTAGGATTTATCTTAATGAGAAACAAAATGAGGATATATACAAGTATTTAGATATAAGGATGTGACAATATACATTATTTCTAATAGTAAAAAAAACTTGACAACAGCCAATAAATGTCAAAATCACAAGTTTAATAAATTCTGGTATATTACATGGTAGGATACTATGTAGCCACTAACATATATAAAAAATTATAGCATATCATTCCATATAACATATATTAAGTGATAAAAATAGGAAACAGCCTTATGTTCAGTGCAGTTGAATTTGTTTCAAAAGTATATGAAAATAAATGTAGCAATTATTTCTTCATTTAAAGGTAATTTTTATTTTTCCTTTTTGCTGATTTATATTTCTTAGCTTCTTTATAATAAACATTACTTTGGTAATAAATAAAATGAATTAAAGTATAAAAATACCAACAGTCTACAACTGTCTGCTTCCTCGTACAAGTGAAAGACTCCTCAGAGGTGGTGCACATTACAGAGTTCTGAGCTATCATGTCACCTCCACCAGTGACCTACCTAACAGTTGTGAGAAAGGGGCAGGTCTGACAGGATAAACTGGAGTAATAATTAGTAAGCTACGTGCTTTACAAAGCGCTTTCATGGACATGACCTCATTTGATCTTCATAACTCAGAGAAATGAGCAGAGAAGGCATTATTCCATTTTATAGAGAGGAAACAGACAATGAGCAAGGCCAGTTAAGTGTCATGTCCCCAAATTGCAAATCTTGGGTTTAAATTGAGCTTTGACTATAAATTCTGACAGGAATTCTAAGAGGAATAGGGAACAATCACTTCTGATTATTTATAACTAGAAGGCAGTGATTTATACGTGAATTTAAAAATAACCGCATTTGCAATCGTATTAGTATTCCTATTAGAATTTGTTGGGGGCCCTAGGGATTTCCTAAATCCCCAGGGCCCAACCTCAGAAGCTATACCCTGGCAACCCTATCTTGCCCCTTGTCAACATTACCTATTAAAGCACTGAAATTCAAGTAGAATTTAATCGTTCAGTTTTCAGTTGCATTTCTTTCCTTCTTGAAAAAAAAAAAAAAGTATTACCTTTTATTTTAAAGCGGGTAAAAGAAAGTAACCATAACTATATTTATGAATGCTACAAACAGTGACTTACAAGTTGATGTCAAAAGATCTAACTTAATGGTACTTTAAAATACCACCTTTGGGGCCAAATCTTTTTTGGGACATGTGCAGACAAGAAACAGTCTCCAGAGAACTCCGAGTATACTGAGTGAAGAAAATGACCAATTCCTCACAAAAATATCAGTAAACATCTTCAGAGGCACATTATTAACAAGCTGGTCAGCATCTGCTAATGAAGCCTTGAAGCATAAGGAACCCTGATGGCTAGCATTCCTACCAACACTCCCATGACTACCAGACTTAAAAGGTGATTAATGGTAGCCCTTGTTTTCTGGGCACTTAGTGTGTATCAGACCCTCCACTAACCTCTTTATATATATGATCTTTAAAACAACCCTATGAGATGACTATTATCAACCCCACTTTATAGATGAGGAACCTGAGTTTAAGTTGCCCCAAATCATAATACCAGTAAAAGCTTAAAGTGGAATTCAAACTCTGGTATATTTTACTTGCAACAAAGATGGGATGTTGGCAGTTCTCTGGAACAAACATCTGACTTTTCTAGTGTAACCCACCTACAATGGTCTTAATTCAGGTAGTACAGAACACTTGGCAATGGTATATGAAGTTCATGAGTATATATTTTCCATGTAAAGAGAAAAATATCTAGAGCCCACAATTTGTGTCTGATATTTTGCCACATTCTAGAATAGTTTGTTTTAATGGCTGGTCTCTATTAAAGCCCTGTTTTAACCCTTTTGAGCCAACATGATCACATGAAAGATAAATTAAAAGAATATTTAAATAAAAGTTAGCAAAAGATGATATTAAAGAAACTACTCACAGATTTATTAATATCTTAAAACTGTCTTATATTAATAAATGAGTAAATCAGTCTTAAATCCAAGTCAATGGAACTGAATTTACCAGATGTTTTGGATCATGAAGACAGGAAGCATTTCTATGAATAAAACAGCGTTTAAATAACTGTTAAAATTATAGAAATGCAATATTTCTGTAGAATATTATGTGATCATCAAAATATATAATTTCAAATAATATTTAATGACAGATACGGTAAAATGAATGTGATGCTAAGAAAGCAAGACATTCAACTATCTATCTGTTAAGCTAAACAAATTCAAGGGGGCTAGGCACTGTGCTAGGTGTTGGAATTATAAAGTGAACAAGACAAGCACAATCCCAGGTGCTGAACTAACCTTCACTGTATGTTCACTTTGCCTGATTAGGACCTTCAGGTCGTTTAGATATCACTTTTAATGTTATTTCCTCAGAGAAGCTTGTCCTCATCACTTTACATAAAGTAGCTTCCCTCTACCTCTTCTTTTGTTTAAACTATTTGTTTCTGTTTCCCTGATTTTCTTTTATCTGAGTCTACCGAGATACTTAATGAGGCTCTTGTCCTTTTATTCTATTAATAAGGTATATTACATAATTGATTGTTTCCGTGTGAAAACAACTCTTCCTTTCTGAGACAAACATCTACAACTAACACCATACTTAATGGTGAAAGACTGAATGCTCTGTCCTACTGCCCTAAAATGCTGGTAAAAAGGCAAGAGGTCTGCTCTCGACACCACTATTCAACATTCTACTAGAGAGTTTACTCACTGCAATAAGACTAGAAATTGAAAGACAAATAAATTGGAAAAGAAAAGGTTAAATTTAAGAAACAAAACAAACAAACGAGTAAGGAAAAGAGAGAGAGAAAGAGAGAGGGACAGGCCAAGAAACAGACTCTTAACTATATAGAATAAACTGATGGTTACCAGAGGGGAGGTGGATGGGGGGATGGGTGAAATAGGTGATGGGGATTAGGGAGCGCACTTGTCGTGATGAGCATGGGGTGATGTACAGAATTGTTGAATCACTAAACTGTACACTTGAAACTAATATAACACTGTATGTTAACTATTCTGGAATTAAAATTAAAAAAATAAAAACATTCTTAGCAAAAAAAAAAAAAAAAAGATGGCAAGTCTCCCCAAATTGATCTATCAAAATCCCATGGGTTTTTTTTTTGGTAGAAATTGATTCTAAGATATACATGAAATTGACTCTAAGATACATATGAAAGATATATATATATATATACACACACACACACACACATATAGTATCTTATATATCATATATATGTATATATGAAATCTAAATAAAAATTTAGACTATGCAAAACAATTCTGAAAAAGAAGATTAAAGCTTTAGGACTTATACTACCTAACTTCAAACCTTACTGTAAAGCTGTAATAACCAACACAGTGTGATATTGGCATAAAGACAGACATAACAGATAATGAAATAGGATAGAGCCCAGAATAAACTCTCACATTCATGGTCATTTGAATTTCAACAAATGATGCTGCAACAGGTCAATAATCACATGCAAAAATAGACAAGTGTAAATCTTTCACAACATACAAAAATAATAACTTAAAATGGACCATAGCTGGAATTATAGAACTAAAACTTCAAAACTTCTAGGAGGCATAGGAAAAAATCTTGTAACCTTAGGTTAGGGAAAGAGTTCTTAAATATGACAACAAAGGCACAGTCCATTAAAAAACAAACAAGAAAGATGGAAAAATTGGACTTCATCAAATTCTTCAAAAGACATAATTTAGATGAAAGACAAGCCCCAAAATAAGAGGAAATATTTGCAAATCATATACATGAAAAAGAAATGGTATCTAACATATTAAAATCCTCAGACCTGAAGAATAAGAAGATAAAACAATTTTTTTAAATGGGCTAAAGTTATGAAGACATTTCACCAAAGATACATGAATGTTTGGTAAACATACAAAAAGATGCTCATCATCATTACCTAATAGAGAAATGCAAATAAAACTACAATGAGATTCCACTACAC